GTCCTGATCATCGGATGGTTGGTGATCGTTTCTTGTGCGATAATGGACAGAAATGCATCGACTACTTGGCAGTATGCAATGGAATCAAGGACTGTGTGGACGAAACTGATGAGTCAGTTTGCTATTGGAATACTGGTTATTGTCCTGTCGGCCAGTTTTCTTGTGCAGACCAAAAAGGTTGTAAGAGCATGAGGTGTGCAACAGATATGACATGCAACGATAGGTCGCATCGTTTCTGGTGCCCGAACTCAACCAGTGAAAATTATATCTATCGCTCGAGTAAAGATAGATCGGTATTTGATATTAAAAAAGGATGTTACAGTCAATTGAAATCCCACACCAAACGTTCAATCCTATCGTCATCCTCAAATTATCAAGTGAAAGCATTAGCCGAGCGCCACTTCTACTGTAATCGAGGCTTTTATCTGCAAGCAGTCGGCAACTCTGAATTCGTGTGCTTCTGTCCGTCGACTTTTTACGGCGACCAGTGCCAATTCAACAGTCGACGAGTAGCAGTTCGGCTTCGTTTCGATCGAAGGCAACGCCCTGATCTCCCATTTATTTTGAACGTCCTTGTCATGCTTCTTTTAAACGAAAGCACAGTGGTTGATCATCGATTTTTTCTTGATGAAGCCAAAGAATACTCATCAAAGTCTATGACTCACTTGATCTATCCTCGTCCGAAACTTCCGGGTGCCTTTTCTGTTCGAATTGAGACCTATCATTTTAAAGAACTAGTTCATTTCTGGGAATATCCTATCAGTCCACTCGACTTTCTACCTGTACTACGTGTTGCCAAAGTGCTTCGATTTCCTGCTCGTTCATTTCCCTGGTTTTGTTCACACAACTATTGTGAAAATAATGGAACTTGTCATCAACGAGAGGACAACCGATTTCTCTGTATTTGTGCAAACGGTTGGAAAGGTAAACTGTGTGAGATGAAAACTGAGCATATTCATTGTGCATCACATTCACTGGCACGAACAGAAACCATCTGTGTTTGTCCGCAGGGCTATCTCGAACCTTACTGTTACGTTCAGAATCTAAAGTGTCAACCACATACTTGTGAACTGAGTAAAACTTGCATTCCGCAATCACATTTTCCTATATATGGACATATTTGTATCTGTAATACATCTGATTGTAATGTCGACCGACCAGTGATTAGTGTTCATCGACAAGAGCCGAATCAATCACCATTTCTTTTGCAATTACTACAGCTTACAGGGGACTATCCGACGATTCGTCAGCAAATTCTCATTCAACCACTGACTTCGTTTCCTTTGATCAAAACCATTAAAACTCGTGATAGGGATTATTCAATTGGAGAACAACCTGAAATCGGATTACTCTTCACTTTTGAACCAAATGCATATTCAATCGAGACTACATTATATTTGCTTTTTATCAATTGTTCTAATGCGATGCGAAACTTTTCCGTTGATCTTGATCTACAACTGAATAAATGTTATGTTCTACCCGAAAATCAACGACATTCTGTTACATTATTTGGTAGTTTTTGCCAAAATTTCACATATGGTACTTGCTTTATATCTGATGGATATCTTTGTTATTGTGGTTATCCGAATAAAAATCATAGTAATTGTCTTTCTTATCAACGACGATACACGGTATGTAGCTATTGTCAAAATCAAGGACACTGTGTTCAAGGTGATCTAACAAACAGAACTGATTTTGCTTGTGTGTGCCCAAAGTGTGTTACAGGTCTGCTGTGCCAGTTTTCATCTAGTCGTTTCTCCATCTCGCTGGAATTTCTCATTGAGAAAACGGATTGGGGTCGCGGACATTTTATCGCACCAATAATTCTCTTCATCATCGGGATGTTCTTTAACTGTCTGTCCATCATTACTTTCGTACAACGAAAACTTCGTAACAATGGAGTGGCTCTTCATCTTCTGGCAACGTCAGTGTTTAGTTTGTTGGTGCTGTTATTGTTGCTTGTAAGGATCAGCTATCTCTATATGATACGACGTATCATAATCTCGCATGAAGTAAATACAGTGCTATGTAAGAGTCTACCCATGCTCATGTACACTTTCTACTATGTCACTTTGTGGTTAATGGCGATAGTTACAGTACAAAGAGCACTGGCTGCAGTACAATATTCTCGATGGTCTTCATTGCAAGAGCCAAAGATAGCAGTTTCATTGATCTTAGGGATTGTATTGATTGTTTCAAGTTCGAATTACATATTCATCACTCAATACAAATTAGTCAATCATCCTGATTATTCATTTCCTTGGTGTATTCGTGAAATTCCACCGAATGAGCAAGTATTGACACAAGTTTTAGCTTTGACTCATCAGGCACTTCCTTTCCTGATTAACATTACCGCAGCCTTGATCATCATTTTGACAATCACTCGATCGAAAGTGCATGCTCATGGAAAAACTACACACAATGCTCTGATCGATGAAACACGCAAACTAATCGATCTGTTGCTAGGTCCGATTGCTTGTTTTATAGCACAGTTAGCTGAGATCGTGATTCTTTTTCTGAATGCTTGTGATTATGATACTAATGTATGGTTCTCCAAAATTACTTTACTTAGCTACTATATCTCATTCGCACCACAAACCAGTATTTTCTTTCTCTATATTGTACCTTCGACACAGTATTATAATATATTTGTGAAGGACTGCTGGTTGGGTAAATATCTATCGAACATGATCAAATCATCGACTGCTTTTTTCAACTGGAAACGCTAAGAAATGCAACTGTAACAGTCAAGATGATCGCTTCTACAACATGAAAACTAAAATATTCGGTGTGGGTGTGGGTGTGGATGTAAATCCATCTCGTGTATCTTACTTCTGCACACACCCAAACCCTCACTGACAACCACCCACATCAAATTTTTTTGTTGTACTTATTATTGTTTCATGTCGTATTCTTGTTGATGTTTTTATTATTGATTCAGCTTCAAATATACTTATTTTCTTTTACTCGAGCATTGGCCATTTGATTTGTTGTACTTGCATGGATGGATAGATTTTTCCACAGTTCATTAAATATTAAACTTTGTACTTTAAATACAGTTAAATTTGTTCGACGAACTAAATGTACTTGCACAATACGCCATACTCTTGCTAAGGGGTGGGTGCGGGTGTTTCATTCATCTATCACCCACACCCACACTCAACCGCGATGGACATCTCTGATCAATATCTTGAAATGAATCAGCTAATCATAGTTGCTGATCATTAATATTCAATACTTCAAATACAGGGCAAGCAAATATCAAACTCTTGAAACACTACGTTCAAGAAAATCATCATCAACTTCATTAGTAATATAAGTCTTAATATCTAATCTATAATATAACATACGAGTTCTTTTTCAGTTCTGAAACTTTCATATGATTGATCACAGAACGATAAACGGTATACATATCACCCTCACCCATCATCATGAAAACTTCGATTTGACATTGAAAACCACACTAATACTTCTGTTTAGTTAAGTATATAGAATGAAGAAAAGTGTTTGTAGAATATGTATTTGCAAAAAAAGACAATCTGAAGCGCATATAACAGGAAAGAAGCGAAGAAAAACAGGTAGTTAAACAGATAAAAGTGAAGTAACTACGAATTTATAGATAAAGTTCATGACAATCTTTCTTGTTTGTAGAGATGCAACAACATTATACAAATACATCTCTCTTTACGTAATATAAATCTTAGCCACTAAAGCCACAACTGACCTTACTAAGACAATAATAATCAGGATAATAATTATCATAAACACAACAATAATCAGTAGTATTACAAGAACCAGTATAACGACTACTAGCAGGATTACAAAAACCAAAACCAGCAGGATCATAATACTGACCAGCACAATAAGTAGAGGTACTACGACAATAATAACTACCACCATCATCACAATAAAGAGAACAAGTCGTAGTATTAGCGGAAGAATTAAAACTACCAGTACAAGTACTAGCACAGTAAACAGCAGTAGTAGTCGTCGTTGATGCTAAATAGAAAACTGAAATAGTCGATATGCAATAATTTTGTTTCGCCTAAAAAAGAACGATTTGGGACATCTAAGAAAATAAAATTTGTGAGGTGGGTGGGTAGGTGTGGCTGTGGGTATACTATTATATACATCCCACACCCATCCTCAAATATTAACTAGAGTTAGCAGTCTTTTGTCGTCTACAGAGATACCAGATGAGTTCTTATCGTACCTGCTGTTGATGAAGATGACGATGGCGATGTTGTTGTAGATGGTGTGTTTGATGAAGTAGCAATTGAAATTGACGTAGATAAGCTACTTGGTAAGCCAGACGATGATACTGTCACAACTAAAAATATGAATTTAACATATATAAAAAACTGAAAAAAAGAATTTATCTATATGGACATTTTATGTTAAGGATGTAAATGTGAGTATTATAATTATCATCTAATCACTCCTATACTTGGATTAAATCACATTCTGACCATTCTTGTTTGTTAAAATTCTATGCATAAACCTAAAGTTTTGAATAGAACTAACTCTATTTATGCATAAACACCAAATGAACATTTTCTAATGTGATTTAACGATCAAAATGAGATTATCGACGAACTATTCTTTCGAAAAACTACTTTTTACAATGACAACTAGAGAATGATATATGTAATATGCTATTATTTATGTCTCATCATAGATTATTATTGAACCAAAAACTGTACTCAATCATCTTTTTATTCTATGTGATGAACAAAAAGACAAAATAATCAACATGAAAACAATAGTTTTAATTGTTGCATACTTAATGTTTCTGTTGCTGTTGAGGTCAACCAGAATGTGAGTACAATAGCTAAACCTATTCCAGCTAGTAATGATCCAATAATACAGCATCTAAAACACCAACACCACGCAAAGGATGTTTTCTTTTGATCAATTCTGCCGTTAAAATATAAGATATATAAACATCTTGAAATCGATATTGTACTTACTGATTATTATTATTATCATCTGTCCAGACAATGCGTTCGGCTGAAGACTGATTTCGATGTGTGGTCGATGTTGGGTCCGATGACCAGTCGGAGTATTGTGCATTCGTCATAATGTGTAATGTCATTGGCTTGGTAGTTGATTTCGATCTAAATTAAATAAAGTAAATATATGTATTTTTTATACAAAAAAAACTAATCAATAATGACCTTATTTCAATGGATTCGGACATATAATGTAAATTTTGTATTTTGAGTACGCGAATTCATCATTTTAATCAAAAGTTTGGCCTCCAGAAGAGAAAAAGAAGTGTAACAGAATACGTATTCGATTGAAAAATTCATTGTGTATTAGAGATGGACGAGTTGTATGTCAAACGTGGAAGGGAAGTGGAGACAAAATGTTTTTTCTATATCAATTAAATTCACAAGGCGATAACCAACGTGAGTTCAGAATTTCTAATAATTTTAACTTTTCATATTTATAAAATACCGATTCGATTTTATTCTGGATTCCAAGATTTTACCTGTTCTAACTGAATTATGAGTATTTTCAAATTTAATGTATACTAATCAATTCACTATGTATAACGAATTGATCAAATACTATCTATGAACGATTGATTGTATTCTTTTACTGAGCATGTTAAATCTGCAATAGAACCAAAACTAATTGAAGTATACATTTTTATGTTTTTATTTCTTTTCGTCGTATTTTTTACATTAATATATACAACAAAAAAACTTGTCTTCATAGAATAATCAATTATTCTATTCTCTTATCGAATGAAAAATGCGTTTAATTGTGAAATTTGAATTATGGTTAAGATGATAATAGATCTATAACAAGATCATCAGTTATTAAGCTAGATGTATTAGATTGGTTTCGATTTCGATTACATTTTAACTATTTGAATTTGCTAGCAAATAATTATTATTTTGCATATTCAATAGAAAAATTCCATATTGACGAACAAAAAAAGAATTGTTTGTCTTTGATCTTTTCTTTTCTACATTTGAAACAATATTTGAATATATAATAATAAATTTTCATTTTATTTTATCCTACTTGATATGAGAAAATCTATTAATCAAAAATAATCGGTAAATTTTTGTTATTAATGACTTCACGATTTTATTTTGAATTTGATAATATTTAAACATGATTTTTAAATATGAAAAAAATTGAATATTTAATAAATTATCAGGAACTATAAAACAGAAGAGAGAAATTTGATCTAGATGATATTATAATAGGATAAATAAGAATATTAATGTTTTATTCATATTATCAGTAGTCTTTATAGATGAAACTATTCAAACACATAACATATTACATTCACATTTTTTTCTTGAGGGTGTAGGTGCATCTTACATATTTCAGGTAATATTTTTACACATAATCGACGAAATTTATCAGAATCAATTGTAGAAACCTAATCTTCTAATAATTCAATTGAAAAGTGTATTGATTTCGAATAATGTACAAAGGACATCTACTGAACCAAGTTTATCGAAAATAATCAATAATACTATTATTCACATTGAATAGATACGAATTTTGTCGGTCATCACTCAACTATATATATCTCTGTTGCCCGCTGGCTGTCTAAATAGACGATCACTGTATAATTTCTTTCTTACGCAACAGACTGAAATCTAGACGATACGATGAGAAAAAATCTTGAGGATGGACGTGTGTATTCTTCTCATACATCACCTACGCCCATCCAATAATAAAATGATAAAAATCATATTTCTTCTATATTCATAATTTTTTCGAAAATCTTTCATTAAAATATGCATGATGATGGATCAATAGTGATCAAATATACCTACTTACAACGTCTTCAATTTATTGATTAATTATAAACAAGAATATGTGTCAGGCAGAATTAAGGTTTAGGCAAAATTAAACTTGATTTTAAAATCATTCTATGATCATATGATTTTAAAAAATTTTCGGAAAATAATTCAGTTGTTATTATTATTTTAAATTTTTCAAAGTTGTAAAGTTCTTAAGTTGAATTCAATAAAAAATGAATTTAATTTTAGAAAGATGTCGAGTTCGCAAGTTATATTTGTCGCAGATACGTTTGGAATTTAGTTGAGTTTGGAATACGTTTAAAATTAATAAAATAATTTTTTTTTCGAAGTTTTTGTGGTATTTTATAGCTATAAGCTATTTATAAATAGAATTAGTAGAAGGTTAGTTTTAGTTTTATAAAATTATCATATTTCCATTAATAATAAATTGTATGTAGATTTTAAGAAGAACTTTTATAATAATAGAGTATTTCCGATTACGTAGAATTGATTTTGTTAGTTTTTCGTTTTTAAATATATTAACTATTTTTTTGATAATGGGGACATTGATCATTGAATAAACAATGAAATTTGTTTGATTTTCATTTTAAATATATTGAATTTGTTTTTTATAATGGGGACATGGGGACATTGATTATTGGCTAAAGAATGAATTGCTGAATTTTCGTTTTTATTATATTGTTTTTTTAAATAATGGGGACATGGGGACATTGATTATTAGCTAGAAATGAATTGTTGAGTATTTATTATATTATATTTTTTTTATGACAATAAGATTAAAACATTGATCGTAATTAATGAAAAATAATATTGTAAATATAAGGTAGTTCTACGAAGATTTTTTTCTTCTGTGATTGTGATTTCATAAGTATTTTGTCGAATCGGTTATATAGGAAAAGACATGAATATTTTCAGTTAGATAATGTTTATTACGTGTGATGATAAAATCAAAGAAAGAAATATGATAAACAGATTTTCAAATTTACGATCATATTCAAGAAAAAATGAAAGTCAGTAGTTAAATAAACATAAGGCAACGAAGACGTGCGATGGTGTATTATTTTCTCATTAAATACTTCCATCGAATAGTAATATTTGAATTATAAAAACAAAATACATCGATTTATCTAATTAAAAATGTCGTCATAGCTTATGTTTAATCATTATGTGTTTCATAGTAACGAACCTTGATAAATAGAATACAGTTCATTTACACAAGCGACATAAACATTTAATTTAGTAGATCTTACCAAAAATTTTTAATATAGAAAATTTATGGGAATAATAATTTTAGGAAAACTATGTAATAATATATTATGAGATGAGACGACCAATTATTTTATATTTTTATAATACTAAACGTTGAATAAATTAGTATATAATAAATGACGAGCACACAAAAACACAAAAATTTTCAGAAAAAATTAAATATATGATACAATCAGTTCACTCAATTTCTTATTGAACGTTTTTAATATGTTTTTTTGGAAACTACTTTACAAATTATTTGTTTTATTCTAACAAAAGAATCTTGCCCGATATTTTTTCTTTTAATTCTAAATGACGAGCACAGAAAAAATGGAAAAATATATGATACAATGAATCGCCTAATTTTTTATTACTTGTTCTTAATATGTTTTTTTGTTGGACGATACTATACAAATAATCTATTTTATTATAATAGAAAAATGTTTTTCAATATTTTTTTTTTCGACCAAAAAAAACAAAATTCAAATTTTCGCGCGGAAAGAAAAGCAAGTTTTGCCTGTTTACTTTTGCCTAAAACTTAATTTTGCCTGGGACAAATATTTACAAAAACAAATTGTATAACAGTCAATTATTCTCGACTATCATACCAATCGCAGCATGATTTTTCATCAATATATGTTTTAAATTGTACATCCATAATGATAACCATTTGAAAGGAATTTTCTAAAATATTTTCTGTTATTTAATGGAAAAGAATTAAGATAATGAATAACTCACTTGTTTTTGAATATTTATCATAGAATCATAACCCACAATATTTGTATCATAATAAAGCCAAAAAGAAAGGAAAATACCAACTATGATTCCAAGAACTGCCACAGAAATATCAGAAAGTAGTGTGACGTAAGAGATCTATTTATGATAAAAAAACAAATTATATTTCAGTCGATATGACAAAAAAGAAAACATACTGGGTCAAGGCCATTAGATCTAAGATAAAGCAAAAAAGCAGCAAGTACGAATGGTATCACAGCTGGAAACCAGTCATAATTGGTTTTGATAAACCTTATCTAGTTTGACGAATCACACAATCTACATTTTAATTTCGATAAATAATATACTCACCCTTTTTGTTCCCACTGATGCTGGATCGACTGATGGATATTTAGGCCAGCCGAAAACAAGAATATTGAGTGCCATCATAAAGAACATCACGAAGAGTAATACGAAACTTGCGCCAATCCTCTTCATAGTCTGAGTACACGATATGTGAATATATAGAGAATTTTATTTTTGATAAAAGTCTTTAGGAAACTTACATAGAAACTGTAAATGCAATCGAAGACAGGTATGCTGCATATCAAAATCAATGAGATACACATAATAGGTAAAACTCGATATGGGACTGTAATGATGTTTCTCTAAAAGATCAGCGAATTTTTATCTTTAATGTTGTTTCACATAAAAGATTCATCTTATAGACAGCTATTCATTAAATTAACTGTTAAGTTCGGATGTGTTTGTTAAATACTTACGTTTGTTGTTGCAGGTTGGTGTATGATGGGTGCAAAACGATCAGAAATGACATAATTAGAGTTTTTCACAACACACATAATGCTACGTAAGATATCAATCTTCTTACACTAGAATTCGTGCTATTCACACATGAAACACGCATACTTATATATATATATATATATATATATATATGTATTGCAAACAATGTCCGCCGCTCGAGCATAGATGTTATGCTAGAAAGAAAGGTCACGAAGTCATATAGAGGTTAAAAGAGGGTGTGGGTGTAGATAAATAATATCGACATTTGCATTCTAACTATCGCCTATACATACACGTCGTGAACAACGATAAACTAGTTATTAGTGTTTTATGTATAGCTAAATATTGATTTCATAGAAGAATTTGAAGCCACTTTGTTAGACATTATAATGACATATTTTTAATCATTGATGCTATTGATTTGTTTCAATTTTAACGTTATATTCTATTACATGATATATCAAAGCTTAGTTTTATAATACTTCTTTTATACCTAATGTCAATAACAATACGCCATTCTATCTTTTGTTTGCAAGACATTTTGCTTTATGTTGTCGTTATATTTTCTACTTTGATTATTGTTCAAAATATTCTTAATTATGATGAGGGAAAAGCTAGTTATATAAATGCTGGTCAAATA